TAACTATTGACCAAGCAACACTTAAATGTATAAGTGAGATAACCAGTTTAATAGTCATATATATTTAAAACAGAATGGAGTAAAATCAATTAAAAACTATTCTAATACTATTTAGAGTATTACTATTAGGGAGTATATATAAATGTGATATCACGAGTGGCAGGTCCATATAAAACTTCGTCTATCGTAACCAATTAGGTTAGCTCCTTAAAAGAAGTGTCATGGAATCTATGAACAATACTAAAGTCTAAGATATTTGAATTCAAAGAGTACCAGTGGGAATTTTATAATGTGTCATATTTCGGTTCATTGTCTTAAGACGACTTTCTTTTAAATCGAAACAATATATTATCAGAAGAGAAATGAACATGTTATGGTTTTATTTTATTGAGATAACAGCGCAGATAAGTCATTAGATAAATCGCTAGTGATAACAGCTTTGTCATACTGAAGAAGGGTCTCCTTTTATAAGACAAATATTGAAATTATTAATATTCTTAACGAATGCTTGAAATCACATGCTAATAGCTATGTTTATCCTTATCTCATCATAAATTAATGAAATAACTTCATATTAGCTAACTCCACAAAGCTACGACCTGTAGAACTGCATGCCTAAATTTGTTTTTCTGAGTTTATCATCAGTTTCATTACCCAAAAAAGAATAGACTGATTTGCGTATCATGATATGGCTATTTTTTTTTCTTCATTGGCGCCACAATTAAATTATAGTCTTTGCTTTCCTGATAACACTTAAGGCTTCATGTTTTACCCTGTTTTTAGAGGGAAAAACTAATCATCCCAATTCAAACACTCAATAATGATTTTCGGTGTAATTCCTTTCTGCCAAGGCCAACACCTATTAAGTGATTTAAGGTAAAATGGCAAGCTACTATTACTACTATTATATTACTGGTTCAAAACATTTCTGACTATATTTCTTTACCTTTCTAATAATAACGTTTTGTAGAAATCGCATTTTCTACTGCATGCATATTTTCATTTGCTTAATTATGAGTCATGCTTTAATCTTACTGTATTTTTTATTACTATATAGAAATAATGTTGCATTAAGATTTAAAATTTAAATAAATGTTCTATTACTTTTTTCAGATATTGTTGTAATGTCGTTGTACAGTCTTTATTCTACTCGCAGCAGTCTCTTATTATTTTTTACTAACACTTCACTATTTTTACATTGCACTTTTGGTCCATTAGGTTAACTATACAATTTTTCATATATTTTGCTTAAAGGTCACATTAGTGGCTTTCAAGCTGTAATGGACCATTTGTCATTTTTTTGCGCTCTACCCACGAATTTCTTTTGCGACATTTCAATTCAGAGAAAGTAAAACCTGTTGCGATTGTTTGTTTTATAGCGAAAAGGATAACACAAGTCTGTACTGTAGATACCTTTGTGTGAATAAAATAGTACGTTTACATACAGTATAAACAGGAAATGGTCATATTATATATACTATATGGATTACTTTAGCGACCATAGAATATAAATGGCTAAGGGGCTTTTAAGAATGAAAATTTCAAGTCTACATTTAAAGTATTTAACTAACTTGTGGATTAGAGTAGATATTTGCTAAAGTGGTTTTTTCAAACAATAGTGAACTACAACAACAAAAATTCATTTTATATTATTTTAATTAATTGCATTTTTGGCTGACCATACTGTTTTGAGTATTGACAAATACCCATCATCAGTGGTCCTAGAATTATTTCTTATATTTAATTAGTCGTAAATAATTTTTTGAGACTGCAAGTACCAAGGGTTGAACTCGTACCCTGACAAATTTAAAGCTCAGAGTCAGCGTACGTTAGCCAACTGACCCAAGGCCGTATTTGACTTATATGTTTAAACTTGGAGTTTTGTTAATTTGCTGTGAAACTTCACTAACAAATTCACTTGCTGTGTTTATATTAAAACGAAATCATAAACCAGCCGTAGAATAATTGGATTAATTAATTACATTTTTTATTTTTAATTTTAAAATTTCAATACTATTCTGTTTATAGAGGCATTATGTGTTGCATGATTTATATATTCTTCCTTATGTAGAGAACCTTATGCATAGAGTAGATATTTGCTATATATTAACTACGAAGGTATTCATATAATAAAAAAAAAACCAATTTGAATGAATTTCACCAAAAGCAATAAATTTATATAAACTCTATATTTTAACATATTCCAACTTTTAGTCGTACTCCTACTCCACATACTCTCATTTAAAAAAATTTATAAAATTAAGTTTAAATACCTTTTAACCAGAACATCAACTTGTGGTAAAAACCATTTAAATAAGTTATGCACACAAGCATTGCCTCCTCCATGGTTGAAGGAAACGCGCTTAGTGTTGGCTCATGCAAGGCTTCGGAACGGCATTAAAAAAGTTTTTATCAAATTGTTATTTATGAGCTTGGATTTGTGGAGAGTTTACATATTGCATAAATGCAGTTGTGAGCTAAATTAATTTCGTTTATTTAAAAACAATTTAAAAATACTTTTCAAAAACTTTAAAAAATGTTTCGTTCTTTTAGGTTCCTGTTTGGAGTATGGACACTCCTGTTGGGGTGGTAAGTTAGAACTGAATAGAACTGAACCTGCCTCAATGCTAAAATGCTTTAAAATTTATTTTTTTTCAGCACATGGTAAGCGCTCTGGCAGTAAATCATTCAACACAGCGGTAAATATGGCTAACGGCGAATTTAACGGTGCGAAAACAAATGGTGAAGTTTTAGGCAAGGTGAGTAAGAAAGGGTTTACGATATAATAAAAATTATTAACGGTTTTATTTGTTTTCCTTTCAATTGTTTTAAGTTTTTTCCCAGTGTATATATATAAAAATTATTTTCCTCCTTAGGTTAGAATTTATGATTTGATATATATACGAATACCGTGAGACCTTGCCATAACATTACTGTTTTAAATTTGCAAATTGATATAGTAACATAACTAATGAAATTGGATATATCAAAGTATTACTATACTGATTTTTATTCTTAATAAATTTAACATAATATTGTGTGGGTTTTTAATATAATATAATAAAATTAATTTAATTTTGGACTTTATCACATATTTAGCGTGGGATAAATCAGCAATTTATAAAAGACAGTAACAGGTCGAGAAACAGGTTTTCGATTCAAGAATAGGTTTGACTTGACTCACATATTAAAAATTTCCTAAGTTTGCATTCCTAAGATTTGCAAACGTCCTTTATGCATTTTGTAAGCTTTTTTTAATATCAGTTATTATACGAACTTAAGTTGAAGTAATATATCAATATATTTCCTTTAATCATGGATTGCGTTACTAGCAGTTATTCTGAGTGAGCTACCTTACCAGATGCTAATTCGTAGATCCATGTTCTTATACTCCAAACTAATATTTATTATTAATGACTGCATAAGACTGTTTCTGTACGTGATAAACTTTAGGTAATCACCAGATTCTAGATCTATCAATTTAGCTTATAGGCTTTATTCAATTTCAATTAGTTGCACATGAATGAAGAAATACAAAGAATAGGTAAAATGTTTATCTAGTAGTCTAGATGGATATATAATTTTAGCACACTTCATTGTGCAGTATCTTGCAGGTAGCTCCATTGTTTATAATTCTTAAAATTTCATTCTGAAATACTAATTAAATAAATTCCGTTCTATATATAAATTGAGCATATTGATAGAATAAAGCATGTATATAATACATATAAAACATATTATAAGTTAGAATTAAGAATATCTAATGTCTAAAAATATCTTAGTTCAGTGCGTATGTTATATAAGTCGTCGCTACTTGTAAGACATTATATAAGAGAGTCTTGAAGCGTATATTTTTGAATAGTGATTCATTTCAGTAATTCGATTTTCTGAACCATTTGTTCAGTTCGTAATACTCGTATATATGTAGTATATATGTGTAAGTTTTTGAACTCAAATATGTTGAATTTGTTCATTATTTTCTGCAATAAGTGTATATTTATACTATATAGAATATAAACTTATATTTATTATATACAAATATTAATACTAACGATGTTTATATTATATAAAAACAATAAAATTTTATATATTGTATTTATTTATAGGCGATTTATGACAATCTCGAAGAATTACCACCTTCAATTGAAAACTCACCATTGTCTAGTGATGAATTAGTACCCGAAAACTTAAACGATAAAGTCAAAATAAAAAATATATTACAGCAAAATTCAAACTTCCGTCAACAAAGTCGAAATTTTAATAAGAAAACGAAACAATTTAAAAACGATGCAGCGTCCGAACACGATGAGGAAAACCAAAACCCTGAGAGATGGCATAGGATGCCCTTCTATAACTTCAAATCATTCGGAAAACTACCTATAAATGCCGAGGGCAATAATTTTCTGCAACAGTTAGAAGCCGCGCAGCGTGCCAACACACAAATCGGTGCAGAGGACAACGCATATTATGATTTCAACTAAATTATTGATTTCAAATGCAAACTCACCATACTTCAACTCAAGCGTGTTGAGTTTGTTTATTATTTTCTGTAATAAATATGCTTATCCTATATATAAAATGAAATTATAATTATTATAATTATTATATACAAGTACTAATGTTAACGATATTTATAATATATAAAAAAATATTAAAATTCTAAAAGTTTTTAATATGCCTCAATTACTATCAACTACTGAAACGAATAACATCGCATGCTGCTTAATAATAATAAAAAATTACTTAAACTTTAAATGTGTATATTATAAGTAATTATCTGTAATTAAAGTCTTTTTGAAATATTAATAGTTACTATATTTATTGTATGAGAATTATATATATAAATTTGTTTTGTTTTAATTATCATGCAAGTGCAGAAAATACAAGAGTATTATATTGATAAATATTGATGCAAGGGCTGGTTGCATCAATATGGCAACAAAAATGATATATATACATTAAAATATATATAATTTATTTGAAATAATAGATTGTTTTTCTTTTATTATTTGTTTTATTATACAAATTAAAAAAAATATTATAAAAAGTAATAACAAATTGAGTGTTTACGTCTACGGTGCCAGCACACATAGTTTTTTATATATGCATTTGTGTGCCATTTTTTGACTTCAGGTATACAAAATTTTGAAACCCCCACTATACTCTCTATTCATTTTAACTACCTTTTATAGGTTTATCAAAGCGCAGAGTTTAAACGAAAAAGAAAAATATTGTTGATCTTAAACTTAATCTACTTAGAAATTAACAATTTTAAGCTCTTATTTTAACAGGTATCTCGAAACAAGCAGCGTCTCCATTTTTGTCATTAAGTCCCCAATGTACTGTCAGACTGACGGTCGGATATACGGGCAAAATTTTGAAACTATTTTTGTAGACATATGTTTCTCCGGCTTTCAGCGGACAACCTACTTTGTTTTCTCCTTCTGCATCATAAATGAATGGACAAGCACTTGTGCCATAATAACCCGGGAAAGGTAGTGGCACATCAAGCAGTATGCCTTGAGCATCGGTATTTACATCTTCAAAGTCGCGATTCGGTGTGAATTTCATTGAAATGCTGGCATTAGTATTCCGTTTGAGTATGCATTTGGTTTTACTGCAGGCTGAGATAGTCACATCTCCGGGTTGCAATTGATTTGCTTTGGCTGTGAGTAACAAATAAAAATTGAGATTGGGTTATTAAAAAATAATACTTCACCTACAATTTCGACAATTTTTAAAATCGGGAGTAGCGTTGCACAATGAAATTGCGGCGATTAGAATACATAGATTAAGTAAGCTTTTCATTTTACGTTTTAAACTGTAAATAGAAAATTAATAGTTCTTAATAACTTGAGTTTATTTATATTTATATGTGTAATTAACAGACTTTTACTATTTTATATAAATATTTTTTATTTATAATATATATGTGTTTTTAGATCCAACTGCAAGTAATTGGATTTATAATTGTTTATTATTAGCAATTAAATCAAGTTTAAAATTGCTCATAATTAAACAATAACATATCATTAAATACTTAAAAAACAAATAAAGTATTTTTCTCGAGTAAAAATTATATAGAATATAACAAACGAGTCTATGTATATTTTATGGAAAATTTCATTTAGCTTTCTAAAATCTTATAGAAACTAAATATTATATTTGCGCACCTTTAATTTGTTCAATATCTTGAAAACATTTTTGTTAGGTGGTGACTTTAATGCTAAGCACTGGGCCCACTTCTATATTCTCCAAAAGAAGATATTATTTTTCCGATATATTGCCCAGGAGCAATATACTCGCTTAAATTTTGCACTCTATCAATTGGAGATTGTACACACTAAGTAGCCATCGAATAAAAGATAAATACTTGACTTGTTAGATTTTATAGTAAAAAAAGGAGATGCTTTAAGTTAACTATCTACAAATCAGGTTTTGATTTGTCATCATATTGTTCTATTATTGAAAAAAGATTTCTTTTCTTTTGAAATAATTATCAACAGTTATCATCGTTCCACTTTAACACTGAAATTCCATTGAATCTAAATCAGACGTAGCTTAAGCTGTTTAACATATTCAATCCAAAACTCAGTTTGGGACTCAACCCCATTCATATGTCATATATATTAACTAGATAAACAATAATATAACTTAATTGATGAAAAGCGGAAAATGAAAAAATAGCTGCAAATGAAGAGAATTCCAACTGATTAATCTCGCTTTAACAAGATTATGATTATGATTAATTAAAAACTTATGAAGATGAAACTGTGAATTCTATTTGGTGATAGCAATTTACTTATTAAAAGTTCTCTGTGAAATGAAAATGGAAGAACTGAAATCTGTAACCAAAAAGTATTGTATTATAATTCTCATATGGTTTAACTTATTGATGTTATAAATTGCAAACCGCAAGCTTAACGAACTGAAATATATTTCAATTTAATGGAAATGGAATTAAAAATAATTAATTACTATTGAATTACGATATGTTAATAAGTAATATTAGAAGAGCTCAGATATAAGTAGCATTTACTTGGGAAATAAAGAACTTTTTTAAAAGTAATTAATACTAAATATAATACTAGAAGTATCTGTATGTTATTGTCATATATGTAATAAAACTGGTTTTATTATGCCATTATATATTTTTTTAGATTTCAAACCCAGCCCGGAATAAGATAGATAACAACAACTTGTATGCTATTTATTCAATAAAATTTATTTAATAAAAATGAAATCAAATAAACTAAACATAAATACAATAAATTGTGGTTAATTACGAAGCTGTCGGATTTTTATATAAAAAAATATTCCTATTTAATGATTTATTGTATAACTTTTTCAAACGCTTCGTGTTACAATACGGGCAATAAAAAAAACTAATTTAATAGCCATCGCGCCACTAGACACTACTATATACATATATGTTTAATTTCATTAATTTTAATTATTATTTATTTAGAAAATGAATAACAGTTCCACTCAGAAAAAATAAATAAATTTTAAGTGCTCTGGGCTGGACTTTCTTAACTTTTGCTTGAATACTCGTTTTAAAATGTATTTTTTATTTAAGTTTAATTTTATAAATTTTTAACCTTGAATTTTGTTATTTATTTACTTAAAAACTAAAAAATAAACAAAAAAATACAAGATTTGCACAAGTCATTCCAGCAAAGAAAAAAGTATCGAAAAGTTTTTGCTGACCTTTGTCATCTTAAACTGGTTGAATCTCTGCTTGCAACTGAAAGAGAGGCAAAGTACTATTACCCGGTTGACACTTGGATGTGAAATACACAACAATGCTGTTATATAACTATAATTAGCATTGTATCCGTACATTTAAGTTATGGAAATTAACTAATAAGTCAATAATAAGAATTATTTTGCGTAAATATACTTATTATGTACTTTAACACACTCAACTAAATTGGACAGGCTTACCAACACTGCGTTATCGAATCCCAGAATGGTTACAGGCTCCTGGGGAAGGTATGCAGATCTGAGGTCAGATATTGCTTAGTCTGATGAAGTAAGAAACAACAATCGAGTCAAAGAGTCGAGAGGGGTTATGAAGAAACTTCACAGTTAATAGAGAATAAAGGTGCTCAATATAAGCTTCAATATAATTAGTGCAAAGTTGTTGTGAACTACAAAACCCTCTTCAGAATTCCACAAATATGTCATATCTTCAGTTACTTAAATACCTCGCTTAAATACCGACATTTGTATGTAAAAAAGTGAAGGTGTCTATTTTGGGGCTCATAGAACAGTGCTTTGGTATTGGAGAGAAGAGATACTCAATTTGTAGGCATTTCTGTGATTAGATTAATGTCTCTCAGTCCAAAACGTACTACAATTAGAAAAATATACATGGTGTTTTAAAAACATCGATGCAAATATTTTCCCGATTAGTAGTGGTAGTGGTATGCTTATCGGAGGATGAAAAACACTGCATTAAATGTTTAGGTTGTCTTATAAACCTCATTTACAGTGATCTCTGATTTTTAGCTTACAAATAGATATACCAATACAGATATACAATCATAAAGAGGATTAGCAAGTCAAATCACAATTCAAAGGAGGAAAACATAAAATTCCTTACGACTATTTCGTAAGTGCCTTACTCATTTTTTTACGGATTAATTTATTTGGTTTCTAAAGAATCTCAATCAGCTATAAAAGGTGCACTGAAACAAACTAAAAGGTCTTGAAATTATTTTAGAATCCACAATAGATAGTTAAATAATTCTAAATGGTGTCATCAAGTAAATGGATTTATATTTTGATAGATCATATATATAATTGGTCATCACTTAAAGAATTAAAAAGATTAATGTTTACATTTCATTTTATCTATAAGTTTTAATTTGAAAGAAAATAACAGTAAATTGGATTTTATAATGTTTATGTAGAATCCCATCATTCAAAAATTATAGACATAAAGTCAAGACCTAGCTATACAATAGCTATGAATGTGCATTAATCAACATAACATAATCATATGTGTGTAAGATATTTGAAGCGAATAATGGACAATGAACTTGTAATCTGAATGGCTTAGTGAAGACCTCTGGTTCTTATGAAGTTGACAAGTATGTAACGGAATTATTTAACAGATTAGTTTAACAGTAAATAATAAAACAGTAAATAAATAGTAACACTATATATCATATCACTCTATCAAATCTATTCGAGAATCACAGATTTACTTTATCGGATACATTTATTTGTTTTTGAATAGAGAGTGATAACTAGTAATGAAATATACAATCTACATCTATTAATAAAATAGTTTCAGTATCATTATTGACTTAAATAACTTTTACAAATTTTTGTTTTCGAAGGTAAAATATTATTGTTACTTAACAAATTCACTAATAGATATGAATCTATATATATATAATATTTTGAGATGTTCGATATCAGTATTAAAATACCAATTCCGTAATAACATTAAATAGCATATGAATTTATAAATCATTATAATAATAAACATAAACACATATGAAAATTTATTTTAAAAATAACAAAACTTTAAAATATCAAATTTTTGATCAATCTTCGACCAGTTTCCAGATCCGTAAATTTTAATTGGAACTCATGTGTGGCCAATTTTGGCGCACCCAAACTAAAGCAAGCGTTGAAGTTAAATTGACAATTAAATACATTTTTACACTAAATATTATTATTTATTTTATTTACATCGCTTTATTTTTTGGCAACGTATTTGCACCGTACTATTGACTTCAGTGTGTTTTATAACAAAAAGAGAATATTGATCTTTCAAGCTTGAAATTAGGCGACAATCTTATGAAAAGTCGAAACTTGTAACCACCGAAGTCCGCGATTCGACTGAGCCAAACCGCTTAACTATTTCGACATTTATAGTTTCATTAACCGGTAGCATTTTGAATGTGTACAGAAATTGTCACTGTACGCCAACCGAGGGCGCTGCAAGAGCGGTACTAACTGCATTGTGATCTGGGAAGCTCAAATCGTAGCTGCTTTTTTAGCTAAATGAAGCTGAGCAGCAATAAATAAGTAATAGCGTTGCACTCCGAATGGACAGAGTGCGTGCTCAAATTACCAAACAAATTTTTGAGGTTTTACTTAGTCTTTAAAGTTTACAGTCTTCGTTCGCACTATAAACTAACTACTGGCCAAAAACATAGATATATAACACAAAACATAGAAATGTCTATGTTTTTGCCACTGACACTTTGACGGTCATATACACTGGTCACACGAACCGAAAATTTATTTGACTTAAACTAAGTAAATTATAATATAAGATATTTTAATATTTATTTATAAATTTTTTTACATACTGTACTAACATGTTATTAATCAGCGGGAGATGTGATTTCATCTCTGTATTTATTTGCTTCATTGTTAACTTGAAAATTATTTCTCAGATATTACCTTGCTTAAATAAATCAAAAGTTACCAAAAGCTTTCAAAGTATTAAAAAATTGATCTAATACTAGCCGTAATTTTTTCTTTCAGAGTTAGAAAAAACTACATTAAGTTGGGTTTAAACGAATTGGCAACACTTTTAAAATATGTTAAATGCTTATTTTTGAGGCATGTTTTTAATTAATTTAAATAAAAAAAAACAAAATGAATATTATAAAGGCGATTGTAAGCATTTTTGTCTTATACATATAAATTTATTTATTTTTTTATGTATTTGAATTAATAGTAAATGATATACTTATATGATTTTAACAGATGAATGGAATTTTGCAACATATTTTCAGTAAACATTCACAATAGACTGATTTCGCTGCACTAAAACTTAAAACGTAAAAATTTTTCCAAGTAAAACCTAACTCTGATGATTTTGAGAGCATTGTTGTTGTTTCACATGTTTTCTTTCGTAAGTTGCGAGAACTTTTTTTACTACTCTGTAAGAAAAAATTACAGCTAATAATAGTTTTGGGGAGTGAAAATATTTGTTTCTGATAATAGAAAGCAAAGCAGGTATAACTTATAATTAGACTGAAACAGAAAAAGCATCATAGTGACAATATTAAGAAAAGTTTTGCGCGAATTCTAGAAATAATTACATTTAAATTCATCCATTAATCTGTTTACGTGGCATAAACGAATAGAAGGAAGCAGAGTACCTCTTACTTTATTACCTTGCCTTTAAGGTGAAGCATTAGCTCAAATTTTTGCGGCGTGCTAATATGATAAATAATGATAAATGCATTGCGGTGTCACCAACTATAACCAGCTGAATGAGTGGTGCAAGAATATTATAGATAAAGTTGACAGAGCAAATTTAACTTAATTTAAAATGTCTATCTGTAAAATCTTTTTATATATTCAGATTTTTTGGAATTGATTCGAAAACGTTTCGAAAACCGGGCTAAGAAACTGTTTTACAGTAACAAATAAATTGTAGGCTTGTATATAGTTCACAACAATATCAGCCTGTAGAGCTACGAAGATTTAACATTACAAATAGGTAGCTCGTTTTTTAGACCGCACATCCTACCTGTGCCTGAGGTATGGGCATTATGACAGAATGAAGAAGCAGCACTGAGAGTGTTTGAGACAAAAGTTCTTCACAAAATCTTTGGTCGCTTACAGAGGAGTCTTGTGTCAGGCGAAACCAGAGAATATAACCAATCCAGACAATAAGAAAGAAATAGTTCACTTTCTGGTACAAAACAAAAAATTATTACTACTCTGCACAATGCTAATGTGACTATTTGTTTTTTTCACTACTATACGTATTGATTTTAAAAAATAGTAATTGTGATTATGTAATTACTTCTATATGCCAGAGCCGCGTACTTTGAATTTCATTTCTACACCCTCAGTTCATGACAATTTATATATTTTTTGCCCCATTTACAGATTTTTACAACAATATATGACGTTTTCTCATCTGACACAGCGCATACACAATGAAATTCAGAGTGGAAATTAACATTGCATGTTAATTTATTTAAATTAAACATAAAAAAATTATTTAATTAAAACTAGTCACATTCAACGGATACATTAATTTAAAACTTTTCACGTTATTTCATCTGTTATTTGTTGAATTTATCATCACAGATTTTAATGAAACAACAAACAGCCAGTCAATCACCCTATTCATTCCAATAAATATTCCACATGATATACATATACATATATTTTTTTTAAAAAAAATATTAAAAAATAATGAATAATAATTAATTCAAATTAATTTAACAAGTTTTTCATTATAATCACTTTAAACTATATAATATATTTAATAAAGTATACATATGATTATATGTATATATATTATAGTTTTGTATCCATAGGGGTTTCTTCCAAAAAACGTGAAATTAAAACGAATAATCACTTGTTATGAGAAGTGAAAGGGTCTGACACTGACACCCTGCCTGTGAAATCAATCATACATATATACAGACATATATATATATATATGTAGTTACCCAATATAGTTATACATATACCATAATGCTGTTTATATAGTAATAAAAAAAAATTTACGACTGAATAAAAAATAATAGTACATAAAATACATATTAAATTATTGTTTAAAAAATATTATTTTTGAGATTACAAACCGAGAAGAAAGTAAGAGTCACATCATTTCAATTTCAATTACTTCGATGAGATCACGAAAAGGTTATTTATTACAGTCTGAGTGAACTGATAAGAAATATGATACGAAAAACAACATGTGTTATATACGCAACGTATTTAGATGTGTACAACAATCAGTAAATATCTAAAAGAAGAGCCGAGTCCATAAGTCCAGAAAACTTCGTATTTGGCTGTGTATGTAGTTAGTGAATATCAAACGAAAGACCCGAATTCATAAGATGTTCATCAAATCAATGTCCACAAATACATTAAATACGAGAAAAACCAACAAAACTTTTAAGATTGCAATAACTGTAGAGATGAAGGCTCCAAGTTATTCCTGATTGGCGAGAGAAATATAAATGAAATACGAAACACTTTTCAAATTTATAATGTATGTCAATGCAGTACACACTTCCTGCAGGTGGAAAGCGCGTTAGAAGACGTCCACCTGGTCCTTCAGTGGAAGGACCAGGTGAACAAAGATTTTAGGGCGCTCGGTACTACCAACTGGCGACAGCAAGCAACTAATCGGGTTGGTTGGCGGAGGTTATTCGATGCGGGCAAGGACGACTCACGTCTATAATAGCCAACTAAGTAAGTATTCAGTGTTGGTAACGATTATACATAGAGATGTCACGTTAAAGAAATTATTCGATTAAATGAGAAGAAGCAGAAGGTTACCGAAAAGACCAAATTAAATATCAGAATATTAAAAGTGCTAGCTTCAAGACAGGCTAATACTGTGATTTAGTCAAGCATCAGGCATCTCTATTGGTACACAATAGAGATAAAGATTTCAATGGAGAATACAATTTCTTAAGGCTTTCTGAAATAGTTTTCATTACTTTTACAGTATTTTCTATTCTAAATTCAATGTTCTTTTTATCTCAAATAGTGCGGTAAGGTTTAAAAAAGTGATAATACTCATTGATTTCGTTTAGTGCATAATAAATATAGTCTACTTTGTTGATATAGAAAAAAATATTAAAATATGCGTTTATTTATTTTCACATCAATAACAGATAATCGGTCGTATAATTATTGATTGCATTATAATCTGATTACACAAGATTATACAATATCAATAATATTGCATATATTATAAGAATTATATTATAATGTATATATACATTTTTCTATAGTAGATGTGATATAAGAATTCTTTTTATAAGCCATTTTTCATTTGATTTAAATTTTTCACATTTCGCATTCAATAAACATTAAATTAACACATTTTAAACTATAGGAAGTCAAATAGGAAATTGGTTGGATTGCCTTTTTCGGAGAACCGAATGAACGTTTTACGTGCTTTATTTATATTATTATGTATAATGCGGATATCCATAAAAAGAATGTAATGTGTGATTTGTATTTTAGGTTCTTACGTTTTTTTTTTAAACCGTATTGCTAAAATTTTGTGAATTATTAAATCGATTTTTATTTCTTTATATAAACATTTTTATATATAAAAAAAATAGGCCTAATCATTTTGTGGTTCCAAAAGTAAACACAAATAATACACTAATATTTTAATCAACATTTCAATCATAATATATATGAACAAAATACAGCATCATTCAAATGTCCTTCATGGGATATATAGTATTAGTATTATAGTATTATCACATTACTGACAATAGTTTTTCACTTTTAGAACATTGCATGTTTGAGGATTGCCGATATAAACCCGTTGCTTTGCTTACCCCTTCAAAAGCAGTCGAGTGACGAATAATCAAAATAGAAAACTGGAAAAGAAGTCTGTCTTAAAAGGATATCACAATGGCGTAGTGGGCCTGCAACAGTCGATAGCCATATAGTCTATAATATACATTCAATTCAATATAAAATTACAATATATTATTATATATATAATAATAAACTAGCATTCTTAAGATAGTTAGAAGATAGTTGACACAAAATTTGGTGGAAAATTGAAAAGTGAAAGGAGGATATTAGGTACTTATCGTCTAGGTATCTAATATCTTATATATCTTATTTCGCTTATATATATATATATAGAGTGAGAGAATAGATATTATATGGTGTTTAAGTTAAAAAAGAAATTTGTTTTATATAAATCATATGAAGGCTATTAAGCGTGAACAATTTTAATATTAAAGTCTTTTTTTCAGATCTAAAAACAAAAACTTAAGCACTGAATGTTCAATCTAGGGATACACTTAGAAGTCATCAGACATTGAGTTTATATATTAAACTGCAATGGTTTAAAATTGAAATCTGATCAAATTTATCCAATAGTTGTATTAATAAATTTAAAATTTATTTCAGCAATATATTTCTTTATTTCATATAAAAAAATTTTAAATTTTTATAAAGAAATAATTTAAAAAGAAATCACTTAGTGAACGTCTTTTGTGAAATTTAATTGATAATTGAGATAATTCAAAGCAATTTCTCTGGATGTGGTATATATTATTATTATTTTATAGTTTTAGAAAAAATATATTTTAAAAATATTTGAAAATTATATTTTTTTCCACAAAAGATTTATATAAAAAAATTTGAAATAAATAAAATTCTGGCTAATAGATTTTCGTATATAAAAATTTAAAATTATTTTTTTGTAAAATTATTTATTCACATGAACTGTATGAACTGACTGATAACATCTTCAACTATAGGTATGTATGTAGGCATATAAATAATGAAATAAAAAAATTTCATTAATTAATTTAAATTAATTTTATATATTTATATAGGTATCAAACACTTTTATATAAGTTAATGGAATTTATTTTGATGACACATATTTGGATGTTTTTAAACTATTTAAATTATTTAAATAGAGCAAGCTTACACTATATAATTTTGTCACTTTTACTAAAAAATTCTTTAAAACAAAGGCGTTTTGAATTAAACCGAAACGCACGATCTGACGACCTCACCACTTCGAGCAAACAAACTTAACTGATCAATGGTTTCGAATATCAAAGCGATCGCAAAGCGGAGGCGATCGAAGGAAACTGTGTGGAAGAGTAGCGTAGCAAAGAGGGCTCATGAATCAAAAATTTTTTAAACCGCGTTTATAGTACTTCCAAATCCGCCATATGAATTCGAAATGAAATGTCAAACTGAACATTCATTTCACGTAACTTAAACGGACCGCGCACAACGTGTCAAACATTTGAACTCTTGTACTTTCCGTATCGCGCTTCCGTCAATTTAAACGTGAAAATTAGTTTAATTTTTATTATTAATGACACTGAATTAATATAAACTTCACTAATTCCGACTCTATAAAATCGCAAAATTGAAAGTAAATTAAATAAAATTAATATATGAAGACATTGAAAAATTAAAACGACAGTTTGTGTAAAAAAATAAAACAAATTACTTTCTCAATTTAAAAACATTTTAGTGCATATATCTTAGTTTATATATATTCGCATATATAGGCCGTGTGCGAGTTCGGGTAAATTGATGGTAAATTGAGGGAAATAGTAAATTATGTCGGTATGGCAGCGAATGTTGGTATTTACCAAAACTTCGAGTACGGTAAATTAGTTAAAAATGAGGTAAATTAGGTGTTACCATTGCGAAAATTTTATAAAATGTTTAATAAATAAATATGAAAAATTTTAACAAAAAATAATAAATAAGTGTAATAAATAAATAATAAATATTTACATAAGTGTAGTGCAAAAAATCCCTAGGAAATTTCAATTTACTTGAAATCAATACCTCAATAGAAATACCTCAATTTACTCGAACTCGCACACGGCAATAATATTATTAGGTAATATATATTATTCGATATTTTATGATTTTTAAAAAAATGATAAAAAAGAAGCTATAGCTTTTCTATTAAGCTAACACTATGCGCTTAATGTTAAATTAATCTATATTAATAATAAAAATAAAATTAGAATATAAATAACTAGGGTTTCTAGCTTATTGCAGTATAGAGATATAAAAAATCAAAAAAAGAAATGATAAAATAAAAAGTAGAAAGGTGTTAAAATTGCGCTAAAAAAAATTATTATATAATTCAATATTATTTATTGTTTATTTATTAAAAATTAATTTTTATTTCACGGAATTTAAAAATTTTAAATAACAATTATTAAAGAATATTTTACAAAATATATTTGAATATATATTAAAGGTACCAATCTTGCCTACTTCATAACTCTAGTCATATAACTATAGTCATATCAGCGAATATTTTTTAACATCTATAAATTATACTATATATTAATCATAAGAAACTGTATACAATATCACGTTTTCTTTTTTACTAACAATTAAAATTAAACATGATTCATATCCGATTCTAATTTGTAGCAAATATCTACTTTTTGAATATTTAATATTCATAATTGTTCATTCTTCATAACACAATGAACACTTAAGTGTTGATTTAATATTTAAGTGTTAGTTATACTGGGTACTTAAGTACCCAATATCGAACATATAAAGTTCACTTAACTTAAGTGTGCATTCTAATATTGGTTTTTAAATTACTGCATCGGTTGGAACAAAATGTCATACTTGGTTATTACTGATTTGATTGACTTTAATTTGATGTCTTTTAAAACTCAATTGATATTTTCTAATTCGAAAAAACTACAACTGAAAAATAAATATATTCAAAATTTCTAAAGCTATCCATATAAAATTTGCGCTATGTGAATTTAGCGGGATATAATATGTAGGAACAATTAGCAGAAATTTTTTCCATATTTTAAAACAATACAATTTCTATTTTTTTGCCATTCTATATAAAATCAACAGACTAACAAACAGTCCATGGTATGAAGATTATATGCCGCAAAGATTTAGTAAAAGTAATATGTGATAAAAATATTACAATGTAATATTGTCTTAATAGCTATCTTATAAATACGTAAACATTTCTTTTTGGCTTACACATGTATATTAATTTTTTTAAATGGTTTGGAACTAACACTCCATAACTTTAGTATGGAAATAAATTTTTTAACAAATCTAAAACTGTTTTCACAGTTTTACTAACATTGAAGTGGAGCCCAATGCACGTCAAACTATGTGCAATACAATAAGTTTGAGATTTTAGACTTGTCAAAGGTTATTGTATGTATATTGTCTGATATGAAAATATGTGCGGTGTTATACACACCCACATATATTGGCAAAAGGATAAATACATATATTCAAAACATAAAACTATAAAAATAAAATAAATTCATGTACCATATCAATTTCCCTTTATAGAGGATGACCTAAAAATGGAAAAAATTAATATTATTCGAACGGATAGTTACATCTTAAACTGATCTCATGAGCTTAAAACTTAAGCCTTTGGTTAATTATTTTAATTTATTAATAAAATTTTATAAAATAAATGATTATAAATTAAAATTTAATTTTCTGATGATGAATTTAGACTAAATAGAGAATATCGATGAAATAAAAATTATTATAAAATAAATCGTGTTTTTTTTTGTTTATTTTTATTTTTAACAACAATAAAACATTTGACCAATTAACCTGTGAAAACACTATATCTTTTTGTTATCCTTAAAATTTTACACTTAAATCAGTATTTTACCAAGTAAATAAAATAAATACTTCTAGCTTAGGTTAGTTTAGGTTGTAGTAGCGGCCTTACGTCTTAAACCCATTTGAGCTCAAATAATGACCTGTTGTATCATCACTGGTTAGCGTTGTTCATAAGCAAATTGAAAATCATCCCATTCAGGAAAACTTAAACCAATCTGGCGATTTTGCAGGATAATTGCAGAGTCTGATCAGAGTCTGAAGAACTTAGATCTTCTCTTAGCCAACGATGGACACTGACACATGAGGTGGAGCACAGTTTCTTCTTCACCCGTATTAAGAAGTACTCCTCAGACGCAAATTATTTATATTCTGTCTCACTATCGTACCGATCTGGTCTATCTATCTATCTCTGCTTTCTATTAATTCGGTTTTTAATCTTTTTATTATTTTACAAATTAGATTTGATTTGATAATCATTTTTATGAATTCAATCTTTTAAAATAAAAAAATACAAAATCATCAAAATACGTTGATAATAGTAAACGTCCGAGGATTTGTTTACTTTACTTTAATGAATGAATGATTGAATTGTTTTTTCTGAATGCAAACGTTTTTGTTTATAATCAGTCATAAATACTTTAATATATATTTCTCTGTCAATGAAAGAATACCAGTAAATATAAAAGTGCAATCTTAAGCATTTTCATTATTCAATGATTTCTAATTTTTGTTATTGTCTTGAATGTGGCGAAATTATGAGATTATGAAAATATTTGTGTGATGGCATCTGTATGGTCTTTATATAAATAAATAACACATTTTTTTTTTTTTTTGAATAGTGAATACTTCTTATACTTATTAATTTTTATTGAATCACATGTTTAAACAAAGTAACTGATTTATCTCTAGGAACTTGATCCCATATTCTCACTACATATACTAACACAGTGACTGCATGATCTCTGAGAACGTTGCCCTATCTTTTCATCACTTATTCAAGCACAGTGAAGTATTGTTCTCGAAGACGGCGAATCCATCGCACATTTTTAACACAGTTACTGATTGATCCTTTGGAACGTAACTTTCATCTAACAACTTCCATAAAAATGTTTCATCTATCTGATTTTAAAGATAGATATAAATTTAATATACAATGTATAATAACTGACCAAAATATAATAGAGACAATTCTATTGTTTTTCTACTTTAAATTACTTTGAATTTTTCCTATGTAAATAAAATCACTGCGTCCAAAACTGAGCAAACCCAAAATAATGTATGGACTAGAGTCCATATATTATATAGTACATTTACATATGTGTCCACGAATTCCTACTACTTCTATTATTTGAAAATCAAGTACTATTTATTATTATAGAATATTATGTTATGGAAATAAACTCGATCAGTTCAAATTATACCATATTATGACTGCGATACAAGTAGATGTAAGTTTAGAAGTTCAAATATAATTAGTCTTCATAAAAGTCTCAATAAAGTCAAAGTTTAAGTAAGAACTCACCTACTGCACAATTTTTCAACAATATTCTCAATAAAAACTAAACGAATTTAGAGGATTTTATTAAGAATTATAATAAGTAATGCATAAAGAAAATTTATTTGAAAAGTTTTATTATTTATAATTAATTTTTTTTAAAATTTCGTCTATAAATTCATTCGATAGAAACGAGTGATTTGTTTTTCCATGATGGATTTTATATATGACACTCTTTTTTAATGGATCATACTGATATTCAGCCACAGTATAAGGACAATCAATTGAGGACAAATTCTCCTTGATATGTGTTAAAAATTCCAAAAGAAATTTGGTACCTCGGTACGGATTCCAATTTTGAAACTAATATAAATTTTTATTCATATATGAAATTAAATTGAAAAAACTATCTTACACCAATAAGATCATTTGCTCGAATCATATTGTAATGAGTTACGTAGCCATTACCATCATTGTAGCCAATACAAATATCTGTAGCACCCATTAAATTGCACTGCAACCATAATTTTAACGAATAAGAGTACGACATAAGGATCTGAGATTTGTCAGATAAGATTTTTGTGGTCACAAAACGATGTGTGTTTAGTTTTAAAATATTTCTTCTGTTCATATAAGAAATATTAAAAATGTTAAAAAATGTTTTTCAAATGAAAATTAAATAATAAATTTACTTACACATCTGAAATTTCTGTTTGAGATATAATCCCTAGAGCTTCCGCAGAGTAGATAATATCAAAGTTTTTCATGGAGGCTTGGTAGATATAGAACATTTCTGTTTCATTAACAGATGTATTAACAGCATCAGCTATTGGTGTATCTGCGAAATATATAATATATAAATGAATTAAATTATTACCAATATTGTAAGAGTGTTTATTACTACACCAGTAAAGCAATGTTGTTGAAATTTAAAATGTTGCTTGGCATAAGGAGTTGGTTGTCTTTCTTCCTTGAATACTTCTCCAGGTTCGGAGAAATTTAAGAATATGATATTTTGAAACTTAGTTGCTTTAAGTCCCCATTTGAAAACTTTATTATGTCGGTAATATGGAGTTTTCATCACACAAACCAGTGCAAAACGGCGAGTGCAAATTTTTATTTTTTCTGGATCTGTGTGTGGATTCCCTTTTAACAATAAAAATCTTTCCATTTTACTCAAATTTTTGTCGTAAGAAACTGCATTATAATGAGATTCGTCTGCTTCATCATTCAAATAAATTGGAAGTTTTGGTTCTTTAAAATATTTTATTTGATTTGAAAAATTTAAATCTTTAGTCATAATTTCAATTTTTCGTGGAATAAATTTTACATCAATCCTATCATAATAATAGTTATTTTTTACTTTAAAAAGCTCCTTATACTCTTCCATTGCTAAATGATAGCACCAGTGGCTCGTTCTTTATACAACTAAATAGTTCGAGTTTGATTTTAAATTTTATAGCGATCTAATAGTGCTACCAATTCAACAACCAATTCAAACGAACACCAATTCAAAAAAAGTATCTCATAAAAAAATCAAACCTCTCTCAATAATTTCCTTAGGACTATTGTGAATGATCATATTGATGCTTGGTGTATTTTTAATATTTTTAAATAGAAATTGAAAAAAGGCACATAAAAGGAGTATTAAATCGAAATATAATTTTCAAATAAATTTAAGAAAAAAACTTTTCAAAATTAATATCACTTTCGGTATATATAAATTAAATTCAATTAAATTTAAAAATCATTTTAAACTTTAAATCTTTCGCTTGTCATTGGCAATAGTAATTCTAAGTACCGTTGCGATAAAATTCACACATCAAATGTGTCAAAAATTAATTGTACAATACCAAAAATATGTACATATAGTCTTTTTAGTTTAAAAAAATTAGTAAGTATTTGGTTATTCTTTACACAATTCAGGATGTTATTAGTTTTTTCTAGTAATGGGTTCTTTTGCAAGCTCTTAAGTTTTACGGTTTGTGAGAGTTCAGTGCATTTATATTTATTAAACTACCCAGCAGTGATTCAGTGGTAAAATATGTAAATACATGGCTTTCAGTGACTTTATTATTTTGAAACAAAAAGTTAATTATTAAACATTTGATTGTCGGTATATATCAAAAAAGAATATAGTATTTTACGATTTACAAGATATTTGCTGTGCAAATAAAAATTGTATTATTATATACAAAACTTTTTTGTATTAATTATTTTATTGAATTATATTAATATTTATTATTTTAGAACAAAATATTTCATGATTAATTATAAATATTTGCATATAAGCAATTCCTGCGTGTCGTAATCTTCTTTTCTTGAAAGAAATTGAATTCATAAATAAGTATGTACACATTGTTTTGTTTTCAATGCAATATATTCAAATAATTAAAATAATAATTTTGTTTTTATGTTTATTCGTTTTTAATGGATTTTTTTATTCAATGTTCATACGTTATTAAAATAGAACAAATTTTGGAATTCAGTGATAAATCGATATTTATTATCGAATTTGGTAATTGGGTATTAATTAAGTAATCAAAAAACATTTACTATAAATCCAATTTTTTATTTTTCTATAAATCATTACAGTTTTAATTTGTTCGTACGTCATGTGTCATACGTTAGAAAATACACTAATTTATATTGATATTATATAAACGTATGAATAAACTTAAAACTAATGTCAATTATAAGGCAATAAATTAAGTAATAAAAAATTATTTACTTTAAATCCAATTTATTTTACTTTACATTATACATTAAAAATAAATTTGGACATTTCCTTTATCATATTTTGTTGTGTTTTTCATAAATTTCTGTAAATAAAGTTTTTAATAAAAACTTTGTATAAAAAATTTATAATAAAAGTTTAATAAATCGTTTTATAACAAAAATTTAACAAATTTTAGTTATAATTATGTACAAAACTATTATTAAACAAATTAAACAAGAATTTCGCTCACTTCGGCATTTCAAATTTTCAATAATTGTTTTGAATAGATTTTGACATTTCTTTCCTAATTCTTGTAATATCGTAAAAAAATCTACGATATACAGACATTTGCAGAGTTGCCCAGAAAAATAATTATCATTTTTAAGGATATTTAAAATTCATCTCGACCAAAACGATGTTAACTTTTGCATGGGAAATCTGTGATTAAACACCTAGATTAATACTTTAATCTCACTTATTACTTTAATCTACTATTAATCTAAGAATGTAAACGCAGTATAAGAAACATAGTCATATATTTATTATATACGTATACTAAAACTATTTATTTCAATATTTTTTTGAATTTGCAACTAATTTAATTTAAAACTAAAACTAATTTGATAAATGTGGCTATACGAGGTACATTAATTGACGTGGTATTTATATAACAAAAACTATGATACTCCAGTTTTAATTCCAGTTTTAATTCTTCAAGTAAACTTAGAATGCTGCTTATAATATATTTATTTTTAAATTGCCTGTATATAAAATATTTTTTTTCCACAATTTTGCATATTTTCAAAATATTTTATTTCCAAAAATTTTTAAATTTGTGAAATTTTTTAATTTAGTTTAATTTTCTATTTACAATCTTTTAACATAGGTTCACAATAGTTCGCTTATTGCGTTAGTAACATTATTTTCTGTAGTTGCTAAAATTTTTGGCCACTTCAAAGCACTAGTGCTTAGATATAGAAAGCAGTGTTGTTGTTTCGCGTACATTTTAGCAACTTTCAGCGAGGAACTTGTTGGTTTTTGCCACACTTAAAGCTGCCGATAGTACCTATAATTAATACAAGAAGTTTATATTGAATATATTGATTTTATTAATATTATCTACATATATAAAAATTATAATATAATAAAAATACTTTAAAATAAAGAATTCTCAAAAACACTCTGTTAAAGTATTTAATTTTTATTATTAAATTACATTTATTTGTATATATTTTATGGAACTTTTATTAAGTGATTAATATGTGGTTACTTGTTTTAAGAAATGTTGAAATAATTTTTGAAAATGCAACTCTTCGCATTAAAATCCATGAAAGAGAGACAATTGATTTTATTACGTCTCACTTGGTGCCACGGTAAAAACAGTAGTGAATAGAAGAAACAAAAATTCAGTTGTGTTTTCTGGAAATGGCGTATAGGTCTGATTACGAGGTGAGTTTTTCAAAATAAATCGGATATGAAAAAATATTGTAAAAAATTATAAAAATCATTTGTTAACATGTGCTAAAATAATTAATCGACGAACAGTTATTATAAAAATATTTGCAAAATGCATAAAATTCTTTTTTTTTTTTAATCAAATAAAAACTAAATGGTTTTGTTGTGTTTAATATGACGGCGACGCCCTTACGTATTCCAACATGCTGCTTTAGTACTTGCTGCCCCATGAACTTGGGTGTGGACACAGGCAGTGAATATTAAAATATTGCTACAATATTGTTGAATAAGTTAATATTCCTGTGGGATTTTGTATTTCGTTGTTTTTTTGTTATAGAAAACAACCTGTGTTCATATGTTTTACACATGATCGATAAAGTGGTTGGTTTGCTGAAATTCTTGTTGAGTGGTTATTGTTCTCTTGTGCTGTTGTTGTTTTGATCAAAGAGTACACAAGTGGACCTAGTTTGTTTTTCTTTTTTTTTGTATACATATATATATATATGTATATATATGTGATTTTGTGTCAACGTTTAGAAATTGTGTAATCCAAAAAGAATTCAAAATCGTGACTATAGTGTGGCACTCTTCTTGATTATGTGTTGCTTATGCACGTGAATTGTTCAGTGCACAGAAAACAATCAATTGTGGAATTTACAATTCAAAAGTAGGAATCTACACAATTGCAGCTGAGCTGTGGTGTTTTCTTCTTTATTTTGTTTTGAAGTGTTGTTTATGCTCTTTACTTTCCACTTTGAATTTGTTATTTAAATGTGCTTGCTCTATTGGAATTCGTGTGCTGCTCTTACTATGCACTTCCATACAAAACAAAAACAAAAATAATCTTTGTTTTGAGAGTTGGAGGGGTACAAATTTTCAACCCCTTGAGAACAGACTGTGTTGTGTTGCTTGTGGGTGGTTGGAAATGTAACTTTTTTGCTATGATAGTAAGAATTATATAACCGGAATTTTGTATTGGAATGTATGGTACTCCATTGGAATTCTTAACCCGCTTCCCTCATAGCAATAATAGTTTTTTTTTTCGTTTCTGTTTGTTACCAAATTGGTGTCATTGGGGCGTCGTGTACGCTAATTGCTGACCAAGTGCGCTAATGTTTTTAATTTTTTTACTTTTGCCAAAGCTAACAATTGTTACTTTGTAAATTTTACATAATTTTTTTCTGATTATTATGTGCTTTTTATATTGCTTTTGTGGGTTCGTAAACAACTGTTAATTTCTTGTTAATTCTTATATGTTCGCAATTTATTGCAAATCTACTTTAATTAATGTAAATCCTTCAATATCAAATTATATACTCATTTAAATATTGTATTCATTTAAAAAATATTCTTTTGAATATTATATAAATTTGATATTTATATTAAAAATTTTTTTGTTTTTTTATCACATTTACGGTTTTGCGAACTAACAACAACTACAATGGTTTTGTTTCAAATGGGACACCACAATTTGTTATTGGGGAGAGCTCCTAATTTAAAAGAATAGAGTTTTCACACAACTGTTAACGGTATCGCATTTTTATTTCTTTCAAGCTTTTGTCAGAAGGATATCCGTGGTCGAGAATACAACCCTGTATGTGTGTGGAGGAATGAAAATTGTACTATTCATAAATGTGTTTGATTTGAGGTAGTCCTTGATATTGTATAATAGTTTCTTTTACGCTCATACTTACTTAGATACATATTATAATAAATACTATATCGTTTTGTAGTGGCTTTGAATTTAAATTATTCCATATTTACTAACTGGCCATACTCATTTTAATTTGGTCTAAATGTAGGGCGATTCTAGATGATTTTAAGATATCGCCGTATTCTACAATGTACAGTGTATATATACCTATAATTTATTCATCTCTACGAGATAATTTCAATTTCAATAAAAAACAATTTTTAACATTTAAATTCTTTATAAAAAGGTTTTATATAGAAATTTTTTTTTAAATTATTTAACATGCATTATTTACTTTGCTATTATTTTACTTTCTTGATGCTCTTGGCTGGCAATTTAACTTTGGTTTTTTTTTAAATGTTTAAATGTTTTTAAGCTAAG